GCAACATGTTGCCGTTGACGTAGTTGCAGGCCATCAGGTAGGAGTTGAATTGTTGGTGCTTGTATGTGACGACTGCGCAACCGACGCGAGTTGACTTGGCCCAGGCGACTTGGGTGAAGTGACCGATTACTTTGCCGCTGCAGAACATCAAGCAAAGTTAGCAAGTGACGACATCTAAAATGTGCTTTTAAACTTACTTTCCGCCGGTGAAGGAGTTGATTTCGGACAATTGGACATCCTTGACTTCATCGAACCAGGATTTGACACCTTGTTTCAAGACTTGTTCGACGGAGTAAGAAGCGGTGGTGAAGGAGTTGAACAAGTTTTGGCCGTTTTGGGTTTCTAGAAGAAAGATATCAAATCAAAGTCACATTGCTTTTCTAATTCTTTTATGCATATTATTATATTTACCAGTGTCACGGCAGCTGTCGTGGCTCATTTTGCATTGCAAGACGTTCAAGTAAGCCAAATGAGCAAGATCATCATCCCATATCTAATAAGTTTGCAAAATCAGACACAAATTTTCATACACTTTTCTAACCGGTTACTTACTAATTCGTTCATGTTCTTGGCAGCGGGCAAGTTTTGTCCAGCGGCGTTCTTTGCTTGTCCCTTGGCAACCATGCTTCTGTAGTTGTTGTGTTCATCCAAAACGAATTTTTGTTCAGCGGCGCCCAAGTTCATGCGTTTGAAACCTACACAGCTTCCAGCGGGTTGGCCCTAAATTCAACATAAAATTTTCGTAAATTTATTTTACTGCTTGGTAATATAATTTAGGTATCACTCACGGAATGGTTGCATCCAAAGTTTACTTTTCCGTTATAACATTTGAATTGGCAGTAGTCTCTTGCTTGGGCGGCCACAGCGACCAAGAGAAGAACCAAGAACATACGAGCAGCTATAAAGTATAAATAAATATAAATCATAATTTGCAAAATATTTTAATATCTAAGCAATTATTATGAAATAATTTCTTACCCATTTTAGTAGTCCTTTTTGACAATGATACAAGTGGAATATGTATTGAATATATTTCTCGCCGCTTTTATATACCTACATTGTTTTCTTAGGTATATTATGTAATGACTTTTAAACAAATATTATTTTAAAACTGATTCATATTATCAAATTGGCAAGTTTAAAATAGAATACTGTTATTGAACTTGTAACAAAATATACGTTGCTAAGCATAATATTGTGCTAAACATATGTTCTAGGTTACAAAAAAAATTTTTTTGACATAATATTTGATGAGCTTATCTTTTCAAATTCGCTTAAACAAACAAATATATTATTGTTTCTTTTTATTTGTATTGGGTTTAATTTGGGAAGGGAGTACTCATTTTCAGTATATATTGTGCTTACTGGAACAGTTATGTTTTCTGATCCAGAGAAAAATGTCACAGTGCTCCTATAAGACAATTTAGAGAATACTGAACTGATTATTACTGATTGGTCTTATAGCACTTAAAAAAAAAGAAAAGATAAACTATGATTTCCAATAAGAATCAAGAAATGCAGTTCATTAAATTTGAGTGTTACCAAAACCACTAACATCTACTTAATTAATTCACATTAATGAAGATTACCAATTATTTTGAAATCTATATTTCAAGGCCGGGAGAATGTTCGCGCCAATCAAAGCATGCGGCTATATTGATATATAAACAAAAAATCATCTATCAGAAATTTATACAAAATCAATCAATCAGTCAGAACGTAATCAAAAACAGTATTAAAATTATTGTAAATATACTTATAACTTGTTATTAATATAAAATAAATATATACAGTTATAATCAAAGTATTTACAATTGGTCCTTCATAAGGCAAGCAATCACAACAACCTAAAATTTTTCATCGGTCCTTACGAGCAAGATTCAACATCATCCTAAATTTTTCATTAGTTGTCGTTTGTTTGATTATTTCAAAGTGTACGATGATTATCATATAGTTTTATATAATTAATTAAATTTCAACATTTAGTTTACCAAGTACGCAAAGGGACACAAAGGTTTTATTTGACTCTCAACAATTATATCGTGAAAAACAAACCAATTATATCACAACGAGAAACACACATCAAACAAATAAACTTCTGACTATAATCAGTAAAACTCCCAGCTAATTCATCATTGTAGGGGGCAAAAAGATCCAATGTCTTATTTTAATTATCGAGTGATTTTATAAAATAATAGCTACATTAATGTTGAATAATTATTCAACCGATGGAAAATATAAAATTATTGAGTGCCTTTTTACATAGATAACACTGAAAATAACCTTCATTTGATATTTTGTCAGGAATGTTCATCAGCAGACTTGAAAGAACTATTCATTTCCTTTATCTGTTGTAAAATTGCTTTTTAACTTCCCGTAGGGTAAGTTATTGTAATGGGCCGAAAATCGGAATTGAAAATTTTTACATTTCTCGACGTTTTGAAGGTTTCTGAACGTTTTGGCATACCTCAGAAAAAATGGATGTGTGTGTGTGTGTGTGTGTATGTATGTGAGTGTGTGTGTGTATGTATGTATGGATACAAATTTCCAGTCACGTTTTAGGGCGCACGGATCAACCGATTTGAATGGTTCAAAAAACATTCGATTCCTATTGATAGAGAAAAGAGCTGATTAGTTTTTGGCAAAGGCAGGTCCAGCCATTTCGGAGATACGGAGCAAAGAGTGCAGAAAATAGAAATCGAATTTTTGAGAGAACGGAGTATCCGATTTGAATCATCTAAAAAACATTCAATTAGTGATGATTGGGAGAAGAGTTTATTAGTTTTTGGCAAAGGCAGGCCCAGGCATTTCGAAGATACGGAGCTAAATATGTAAAAAATGGCAGGTTCTGAGAAAACTAAGCATCCGATTTAAATGATTCAAAGAACTTTCTGCTTGTCTTAACAAAATAATTGATTTTGGAAAAAAAAAATTTGTTCCAACTTTTTTTTTTTTTTTTAGTTTTTTGTATATCGAAAATATTTCAGATTTTATTTTTAATTCTGACTATTAGTTCTAATATACTTTATGAATAATTTCAACTCTGCAATTCAGTTTATATAATTCTTATAAATATTAGACAATGTTACAATATTTATAATAATCTATTTGAAAACATTCAGTATTCCTCGAACATTTCGTTACGGTACGGGAAGTTCCAGCAATTTGCCTTAAGGCACGATGCCATAATTGCCTCAAGACAGAATTCCACTTACAGCTAGTTCAAACTTAATTTACTTTATTATTTGCTATTTTTCATTTTTACACCTTTGCCAGTGTAAAAATTCAGTTGGTTCTTTATACACCACCCATGTGTAAGATTTTAAGGAGGTTATATGAAAAAAAAACGGTTGTGTCTAACATGAAATTAACAATGAATATTATAAAACAATTAAATAACGTATATTTAAAAATGCATTAAAAAAAACTTAGCACACAAGCAATACAAATAATAATGGACAAATATACTTTTGTTTGAATTTTCAAACATTGTTTTTTTTTTTTCTCCCAATAGCAATATCTTGAAAATCAAGGAGATAACTGATTATACATTCTTTTCTCTCCACATTGAAGTATTGTTGTTGAATCATTCTTAACTTTACTAGTTTTCAAGATATGGTTAGTGGACCTAGGCAGTACTGCCCTAGGACAGGTCCGTGAGATTAATTAAACTCAAACTTGGTTCAGGGAAGAATTGTGTGAGAGGTTTCTTATTGCCATTGCACGCTGCGGTGTCTCAAATGGCCTATTTCTAGTTAGAAACATATTTTTTTTAATATTGATAGTAAACATTGACATCGATACTGCACGGTGTCAGTTTGTCCAGAGCGGGGGTCGAACTCACGACCCCATTCGCACGAGTTCGTGCATCCGATCGTTACGACATATGATATAAATATACATATATATATATATATATATATATATATATATATATATATTTATATATATATATATATATATATATTATATATATATATTTATATATATATATATATATATATATATATATATATAATTTAGTTGTTAATTTTGATGTTGAGATATATGAGTAAGTTCTTGTGGGGCGATACATCAAAGAATAAAAAGCAAAGATTTATAAATTAATCTTTAATTCCAAACGTTTCGACATTCAATTTAATGTCATCATAAGTGGATATTAACGTTGGTAGGTTACATCTAGAGAAGTGTACACGACACTAGAAATTAGCACTAACATTTATACAACTAACTTGTCAACACCATGATTTTTTTATAATTTTTGTATGATGTAAACAGAAAAATGATAGTTTTATTTGAACAAAAATGTGAATAAAGTTAAGTAATTTCTGCCAACGACTTCTGTACTGTGCGTGTTCCGAGGCTTATTTGCTAATAAGTAATTTATAAATCGTTGCTTTTTATTCTTTGATGTATCGCCCATATATATATATATATATATATATATATATATATATATATATCATATGTCGTATGCTATTTAAAATTTTAAATTTTAAATAGTATGCTACAAATACAGATCATTGAATGGTGCAATTTTATACAAAAATAAAAATAGAATAAGAAATTTTGTATTTATTAAGTGGTTAATATGAAAGCAGAAAGCTAAATAAAATATATTGTAATAAATAATTTTCAAATATTTATTCCTAAATAAAAATATAAAAATAGAAAATCTTTGCACAACTGCAAGCAACAGATTCAATCTATTCTTTTTAATCTAACTTTTTCTAAAATATAATATTTTAAACTGAATTTGAAGGACACTTGCAACAGCATAATCGAACACATATGTATATTTTTACTTATGAGTTCACTAGTTTATCATTGCTTATATTATCAGGATATTCAAATAGAGAGTAAATTTATTATATAATGATAAAAAAATTCAAATTTTATGTTTATTTTTTTATTAATTATTTACATTATGTACAGTTATATTAAGAGATAAATGTTTGATAGTAGTTCAAATAGTAGATGAAATATCAAAAGTGAGCGATTTATTGTTGGCACAATCCACGGCTGGTGCAGGATCCGCATCCGGCGCAGTTGCTTCCTGCTTCGTAGATGCTGCTGCGCAACATGTTGCCGTTGACGTAGTTGCAGGCCATCAGGTAGGAGTTGAATTGTTGGTGCTTGTATGTGACGACTGCGCAACCGACGCGAGTTGACTTGGCCCAGGCGACTTGGGTGAAGTGACCGATTACTTTGCCGCTGCAAAACATCAAGCAAAGTTAGTAATTAGAAGGGACATCTAAAATGTGCTTTAACACTTACTTTCCGCCGGTGAAAGAATTGATTTCGGACAATTGGACATCCTTGACTTCATCGAACCAGGATTTGACACCTTGTTTCAAGACTTGTTCGACGGAGTAAGAAGCGGTGGTGAAGGAGTTGAACAAGTTTTGGCCGTTTTGGGTTTCTACAAGAAAGTTACCAAATCTAAGTCACATTGCCTTTTTAATACTTTTATGGGTATTATTATATTTACCAGTGTCACGGCAGCTGTCGTGGCTCATTTTGCATTGCAAGACGTTCAAGTAAGCCAAATGAGCAAGGTCATCATCCCAAACCTAATAAGTTTACAAAATCAGACACGAATTTTTATACACCTTTCTAACCGGTTACTTACTAATTCGTTCATGTTCTTGGCAGCGGGCAAGTTTTGTCCAGCGGCGTTCTTGGCTTGTCCCTTGGCAACTATGCTTCTGTAGTTGTTGTGTTCATCCAAAACGAATTTTTGTTCAGCGGCGCCCAAGTTCATGCGTTTGAAACCTACACAGCTTCCAGCGGGTTGGCCCTAAATTCAACATTCAGTTCGTAAATTTATTTCACTACTTGGTAATATGATTTTGGTACCACTTACTGAGTGGTTGCATCCAAAGTTAACTTGTCCGTTATAACATTTGAATTGGCAATAGTCTCTTGCTTGTGCGGCGACAGCCACCAACAGGAGAACCAGGAACATACGAGCGGCTGGAAATAAATATAAATTAGATACAATTAATTTTCCTTATTTATAATACTACTTATAAAAATTAAAGAATAATATGCATAATACTTTTAGTATCCAAGCAATCATTCGGAATTTAGTACTTACCCATTTTACAAGTCTTTCTTGATAATGATACAAGTAGAATATGTCATTAGAACTTTTTCTGCCACTTTTATATATGTTCTTTGTTTTCTTAGATGTGTTACGTAATTACTGTTAAGCAAACATTATTATTGTAACTGATTAATATTATCAAATTTTCTGGATGGAAATAGAATAATATTATTGAGTTCGTTATTAAATACACGTTGCTAAGCATAACATTTTCCTAAATATTTGTCTCACGCCAGGTAAGAAATAACAATTTTGGACATAATATTTGATTAGCTTATCTTTTTAAATTTACTTCTACAAATAATTATATTAGTGCTTGTTTTTATTTATATTGAGATTAGGAAGAGGGTTCTCAGTATATATTCTGCTTACTGGAACTGCTTCTGCTTTTTTGACCTAGTTTTTAATCATATCGTTTTCACGAAGGCCTATAATTAAAATACAGCGAAGCTTATATAAATTCTAGATGTAATTCATTAACTTTCCGAATGAGAAGTTTGTTCACATAAGAAAATCCGATTTGCTAATTTTATGTTTTCTCGACGTTTCAAACAATTCTGAATCGAATGAGTCAAAATTTGGAAAAAGTATGTGTATGTGTGTGTGTAAACAGATTTTGGACCCTTCATCGACGTTTTCTCAAAAACGGGTGGGCCGATTTCAGAAATTTAACATCCCTTTGATGTAATTTGACAAGAACTAGCATTTGTCGGTTTTGCGCAACAGTCAAGTCGTTTCTCGTTAATAGCAGAAAAGTGAAAAAAGGCTACGTTTTAGCCTGCAATTTTAAATTTACTTTAAGATTTTTATAATTTTTTTTGGCAATAGATATCATGGTTTTATAGATCTCACTAAAATATTACGGCCCTACGACAAGTCGTTTAATTTATGTGGCTTTATTTTGACTATGAAGTTCATGCACTAAACTACTACTAAACAGTACTACGAAAATTGTTTGAATTGTATAAATTTTTTGAATCTTGGAATAATAAGGTACAATTTTAAGACATACAAGCAGACGTCCCTGTAGACCATGATTAATATAATTACAGATATTATAATTCTGATTGATAGATATCAATTGAAAATCTTAATGTTTAGAAATGAGTAGAAGCAAAAACTTTATTTTTGTAATAAACAGCTGAAGATTCTATCTAAATATCAAAAATTTCAATTTCGATTGCTTGTTAATGATAACACATTTTGGGTAGTTTATGCAACTTGCCTTTAGGCTAAATGCCACTTTCAACTAGTTAAGTTTTCAAATTGTGTTATAATTTTTAGTATGATTTGAACATTCTTTGCATCAATTACGTACACACACTTATATACATACATATATATATATATATATATATATATCATTATTATTATTATTATTATTATTATTATTATTATTATTATTATTATTATCATTATTATTTTTTGTTCAATTTATTTAAACATTTCAAATCGTATAATAGCAGAAAGAACCATACAAATATTTCAAAAAAATATTCAATCTATAGAGGACATTTTTTAATAATATGTATATGGCTACAGTGAATTAACAAAGTGTACGAAATACATAAAAAACATAATACAAAATACATTTCCTGTTTTAGTATCCAAATTTAAATTTGTATTTATTCCCTAATAGTTATATTAAAAATACAAACTCGCCATATCAATTTTTCTGATGTACAATTTATGCGGTACAATTTGAACATAAATTATGTTTCTAGATCTTCGAATATTTACTTCCTAAATTTTATTTTTTAACAGCGATGAGAACTACGGGTTCTGTGAGCGGTGTGTGCTCGCTTACATTAATATTCTGTAATTTTTCATGTAAGTGCAAACCAGTGGTTATTCACTCTTCTTTACAATTGCTAGATTTAATATATTAGGTATGTGCATCGAATAGTGCTTACCTAAATGTGATGCATTAAAGCCATCTAGAGGCTATTGTTACTTGAAATTATATTTGAGATATATAACCTCAAATGGAAACTTAATGTTATACTTATTAATATCGCGAGCTTCGAATCAACTCGGGACTAGTTAGGACTAGTAGCGCTAACCCACGTTCTTACCGGTTACGTCGCTGGATCTTTGTTTTCTTAGGATGTATATAAATATAATTTTATTTCAAGTTTCATTACAACAAATGCAAAATATGAGAAGCATTAATAAAGTGGATAGTATGAATCTAGAATTATAGTATCAATATTATAATTTTGATAATATATCATCAATTATTTTTTTGCCATTATTTGATATATTTGGACTCGGATTCTACAGAACCTTATCCATGTTAGTCCCAGGGACAATATGAATATCAATTTATAGTCAAAAATTTATATTATAATAAAACAAGTAATTATCTAACAAACTCAATTTAAAAATAAATAATTACAGTAAAACCGTTGACTGATAAAAATCAGATATTTTTCTGGAAAATTTGCCAAGAAAATATATCAAGGGCTATATAGCCAGTACCCAATGAAACCATTTCTAGCATTATAGAACATGTTAGTATTAGCAAGAAAAATAACACGTGTTACAAAATATAGTATAACACGTTTATAAAAGTCACTTGGTTATTTAAAATAAATTTTGTAATGTATTATTTTTTATTAATGTGAGTTTAAAAAAACATTTTAATCGATAAATAGTATTGAACTGTTAATTAATTTTGGTTTCACAAACTTTTATAAAAAAATGATTGAAATATTCAAATTTTAATCAGAAAAATTTTAATAAAATCCGCAGCAACGCGTTGCCGAGAACGCTAGTATAAATAAATAAATAAATAAATAAATATATATATATATATATATATATTTATATATTTATATATATTTATAATTATGAGAATTCTGGCCCTACTGAAATATATTAACTAGCTCATTAAAATTAAGTTTGAGTATCCATCATATTGCTAAGAAAAATGATAGTTTTATTGTTGTATGTTTATTTTTTATCATTTATTTACATTATGTACAGTTATTTCAAAAGCTAAATGTATGAATGTAGTTCAAATATTAGAGGCGGTATTTTAAGTGAGCGATTTATTGTTGGCACAATCCACGGCTGGTGCAGGATCCGCATCCGGCGCAGTTGCTTCCTGCTTCGTAGACGCTGCTGCGCAACATGTTGCCGTTGACGTAGTTGCAGGCCATCAGGTAGGAGTTGAATTGTTGGTGCTTGTATGTGACGACTGCGCAACCGACGCGAGTTGACTTGGCCCAGGCGACTTGGGTGAAGTGACCGATTACTTTGCCGCTGCAGAACATCAAGAAAAGTTAGCAAATGAGGACATCTGATATGTGCTTTTAAACTTACTTTCCACCGGAGGAGATGAGTGATTTCGGACAATTGGACATCCTTGACTTCATCGAACCAGGATTTGACACCTGTTTCAGACTTGTTCGACGGAGTAAGAGTAGTGAAGTGAGGAAGGTTGTGAAGGAGTGAACAAGTTTTGGCCGTTTTGGGTTTCTAGAAGAAAGTTATGAAATCAAAGTCTCGTTGCTTTTCTAATTCTTTTATGCGTATTATTATATTTACCAGTGTCACGGCAGCTGTCGTGGCTCATTTTGCATTGCAAGACGTTCAAGTAAGCCAAATGAGCAAGGTCATCATCCCAACCTAATAAGTTTACAAAATTAGACACGAATTTTTATACACCTTTCTAATCGGTTACTTACTAATTCGTTCATGTTCTTGGCAGCGGGCAAGTTTTGTCCAGCGGCGTTCTTGGCTTGTCCCTTGGCAACCATGCTTCTGTAGTTGTTGTGTTCATCCAAAACGAATTTTTGTTCAGCGGCGCCCAAGTTCATGCGTTTGAATCCTACACAGCTTCCAGCGGGTTGGCCCTAAATTCAACATAAAATTCTCGTAAATTTATTTCACTTCTTGGTAATATAATTTAGGTATCACTTACGGAATGGTTGCATCCAAAGTTCACTTTTCCGTTATAACATTTGAATTGGCAGTAGTCTCTTGCT